CCCCTATTACATGGGACTCATAACATAAATAGTGAAAAGTGGCGGTTACATTGCACAGTGGCATAATGTACACCTCTGCATGTCCCTTTGAGGATAAAAGGCGTGTTGTTATGTTATATTAATTATGTTCTTCAACAGGTGCAAAGATGTATTTGGAGACTCATACCTACCAGTTACAGCTGAAGAACTGAGCCGACTCAAGTATATGAGTGCAGTTATAAAGGAGACTCTGCGATTGTATCCCCCAGGACCAATCTTGTTGAGAAAAGTTGATAACGACGTGGTTCTTCGTAAGTTAAATATTTACAATAATCTTCTGAATACATACATACAATTTTGTACAAAACTAGTGCTTCCGTCCGGCGTTTTTTTAAACTACGAATAAGATTTATTTTTGCATTAAGCTTATAACATTGCTCAGCTCACATCGTACTATTTTTTAAAAACAAAACGGTGATTTATTAAGATTTTCTCCTACGTCGTGGGTGTGTTTACAAACATACAATTTCACATACACATGACATCAAGACCTGAAACAGCTATTTGTGGATCACATATAGAGTTGCTCCGTGTGGGAATCAAAACCGCTATGTGTAATAAATACAATGCTAATATAATAAAAGCTTACCTTAACCCTTTATTTAAAACCAAGATCTGATGTAACATATAGTGGATCTCATAGTATTTGTTCCTATTTCAGCATCAGGAGATATTTTACCGAAAGGCACAGGCATCTTTGTATCTATATTTGCTGCTAACCGCAACCCTCGCTACTGGGGAGACGATGCAGACCAGTTCCGACCTGAACGGTTCATTGACACGCAGCTCAAGCATCCCGCTGCTTTCTTGTCCTTCAGTTATGGTCCTCGGAATTGTCTAGGTATGATAAAAATCTAACTTATTTTCTATGATTTTCTAGTATTAATAATGTTTGACGAACAAACAACAGTTGTTACAGTTACTAGTTAACTCAACCAGTTTCAAGCCATTCTAGGGGCTCATATTCATAACAACGACGACGTAACAACACGGACTAAATGACTAATTATTCTTTTATTTTATTTTTTAGGATACCGCTATGCAATGTTATCAATGAAGTCAGTTTTATCAAATATTGTTCGCCGGTTCCGAATACTGCCAGTCTCCAAATCAGAGTTGGGAAAGCCACTGGACATAAATTATGATATCATGCTGCGGTCTGCAGATGACTACAAAGTAGTACTGGAACCAAGAGTATGATCTTGGTATTTCAATAATTCCCTTATATACAATTTGTTTTTTTATTAATTGTTGAAAATATGAAAATAAATTTATTTATTACCGTTCTGTTTCGTTACACAATAAATTGAACAAACTTGGTGCGTTTCATTAACATCTAAAATAATGACCCTTTAGGTGCACTTATAGTGTCAATAAGAGATTAAAGTGTATGTTACTGCAGGCTGGAAAGGTTTTCTCTTTTTTTTAAATAAACAGTAATTTTTCAACTCATTCGCCTTTGCTTTTGGCAAGGAATAAAAAACAAAATAATAAATACTAGAAAACAATAATAACTATTATTCGTACTCATAGGTTACCCACCCACTAAGAGCAAGAAGTTTGAACTCGGTGCCATTAGTTCTAAACAAAATTATTCATTGAAACCACATATAAAGAAGATTGAAACCTTAATATATACCTTCCTAATATTAAGCTGTTTACAATTTTCTGACCATTAAGTTTATATAATTTTGTAACCTACAATTAACCTACAAGTGACATATCAGTACTAAAAATAGTTATTTATTGCTTTTTAGATTTTACTTTCTGTTTGTTACTTCTTTTTAGTTTTCTAAAGTCGATTTTTAAACGCAGTTTTTATTCTGTCCTTTTTAGTGTAAAGCTACCAAACCCCGTTTTACGACTTATAATCCACACAGGTGCAAAGTTCTGATCAATATAAATTATGCTAGTCCAAACTCAAGGTAGTTACTGTATACCGTTGAGGAGTTCCCGTAATGATTACTCTTGTTGATCATCCGACCCTTAATGAGAGTCCCACTCAATATAAGTGTAAATTTCTCATCAATACAAATTAATCAAGCCCAAATACAAAGTAGTTACCGTAAACCATTGAGTTCTCTCGACTGTCGGTCGGTTCTATCGTCACGTCGACACCAGACTCTAATTAAGTTATACTGGTTTAAAATATCTATTGAAAATATTAATAAATAAATATGGCCCTATATTTTTCAAAAGTTCCTCTCGGTTTGCTGGGATCGTATTATCAAATTCTTACCTGATGATAATGGGACTACCTCGGAAGTGCAACCCTACAAACGAAAGAAGAATTTTAAATATCGGTTCACAAATGGCGGAGTAATCGGTGAACCGATATTTAAAATTCTTTCTTTGTTTGAAAGAATTTTAAATATCGGTTTAAAATTAGCGGAGTTATCGGTGAACATACAGAGAGAAAAAAAACAATCTTCCGAACATGGTATCTCCTCCTTTTTTTAGGTCGGTAAAATGGAAACATATTTTAACTGTTTCAAGGCCAATCAGTGACCTCTAGTTTCAATAAAACCTGATTTAAATTAGTCTCAGTATTACATATATAGTTTATATTTTTTAAATGACTGTAACACTCTTGATCTCTTGATCTTAGTGAACACTTTAAATGTTGTGATAGTAAAGCTTTTCAATTTCGCTACATTTTTTTTCCAAAAATGACATTATTGCAATTATTTGTTATTGTGGTTTTACTATTCTGTGTATGGTTCCGATGGCAAATGAGACATATGATAATTTTCTAAATTACATAAGAATAATTTAAAATCTATAACAATTGTCGGACATTCGTACATTTTTATGACGTGCAAAAATAATAGTGGTAAGTTTTATTTCATTTATTCTAGTATATTATACTTAACCCAACAACACAAGATTTACCCGACTTCAAAAAAGGAGTGTCTCCGTTTGATGTGTGTGTTATTTATGTATGTTTGTGCGTGATTATCTCGCGATTACCCGAATCTTTAAATTCGGAATTCAGAAGTGGCACTAAGGGCCCTCGCCCACAGGCGACTTGTTGTAGCGATATACATATGTGTGGGAGAGCCATGCTTCGGCACGAATGGGCCGGCTCGACCGGAGTGATACCACGGCCTCACAGAAAACCGACGTGAAGCAACGCTTGCGTTGTGTTTCGTCGTGTGAGTGAGGTTACCGGAGGCGCAATTATCCTCCCCTTCCCCAATCTCCCCAATTTCTGAATCCCCAATGATCCTCAAACTCCTAATTTTCTAAAGGCCGGTAACGCACTTGTAACGCCTCTGGTGTTCCAGGTATCCATGGGCGACGCCGATTGCTTACCATCAGGTAATTCGTCTGCTCGTTTACCGGCTTATGCCATAAAAAAAACTGTTATTAATCTACTTATAATTAATCTAATTTATGTAATTCCTTCTAGTTCTATGATATTCTTATTTTATTTTAAGGCTACCGCTACGGATTGCTGTCAATGAAGGCTGCACTAACAAATATACTTCGTAATTTCCGACTGCTGCCCATCTCCGAACAGGATTTAGGAAATCCAATGAATTTGGAGAGTGATCTCATGCTGAGGGATACAGACGGGTTTCAAGTGAAATAAGAACCTAGAGGGTAGCCATAGTTTTTTTTAAAATATGAATAGTATACTTTTACATACCTAATTACCCGCAAAATATTTTTTAAATGAAAGAAATGGAAGCATGTGAAATTAAAATTATTTTATTACCTACATAGTCAGCAAAATTTGTGTCTACATGTTGAGAATATTGTGAGGTTTGTGTGGCCTACAATGTAATGGTAACGGAAGATATCTAACTTTTAATATTTACTTCAACACATTCATGAGTTTCTTCTAAATATTAAAAAAGTTAAGAGCAAACTTGATATTTGTACTTCATTGCTAATTAACTTATATCAAAGTAAAAATGAACGTAAAACAAATATTAATTCTTCACTTCTTGAATCGACGCGATAGCAAACTTGTAGAAAAAACTACTAACTTGTAATTTCTTCTCAAGTATCCCTTATTCCTGTGGTTATAAGGTCGCTAATCACATATTTGTCGATGCAATATAAAGGCACAATAACCACAAGTTCCGGGCATCAGAAGTCTAGTAGTTCCCGACAAGACAAGTTGCTATTAAATTCTGAACAGGGGTGTTACATTCATGGCGGATTTACATTTCATCTTAACAATACCACATTTATTCAATATTTTGCAGTAATAATTGTCAAACAAATAATACATGTATTCCAAATCTATTTGATAAAAGACGAATTAACATAACATAACATCACACCTTTTATCCCCGAAGGGGTACGCAGAGGTGTACATTATGCCACTGTACAATATAACACCCACTTTTCACTATTTATGTTATGAGTCCCATGTAATAGGGGGTGAACCTATTGCCATATACCGGACATAATTCCGAATTAACCTTAAATAAAAAAACAAAAATTTAAGGCTATGAATACGTCAGAGGACGCCTGAGAAAATTCGGCAGTTGCAAAGAAATTAAGAAGTAATCGTACCCATCTCTAAGATGTCGATGGGTACATAAGAGAAGAAGAATAGACTGTGTGAATATGTGTGTGATAGAATTGAAGGAACATCGCAATAATAAATTCTTACAAATAGGTCTCAATGAGAAACTTAGAACGAGCACCTAGCTACTAACAATCAATTTGACATTTCAAAAGTGCCTAATATAAGGATTAATTGGAAAAATGCTTTGACTTTGACTTTGAAACTAAGTAGTGGATGAATCTTATTAATATACTTTACCTCTATGTATAGGGTAAGTATTCAGTAAGCCACTGGTGGAAAACGATGAAACTGAGAATTATTGTTTTAACACAATATAATAGTTGCAATGTTACAAAACGTATCCCTATAGCGCTTGGCCACCCCTGTCTTAGTTCAGTAGAGTTCAGTCAACCTTCCGACCGCTTCCCGGTTGCATCTCGCCACTCCTGCGCAACTAGTCGCACCGTGAACGCGATCCACGGTACACTATCAAGGTGAGTCATTTTATACCCTTACATTAAAACATTTCATAGTTTCATTTTATAATAATTGCAATATGGATCATTCACTTTCTTTACGACGAAAGCAATCATATTCTAGTTAATTGTTGTACTCTCTATTTAGTTTTCGGATTGGATACCCAAGTTGGATAAAGTATTGCTATTTATCAATTATATAATGAAATACGTAATTGTGCCTGATTTTACAATGCCCCTTTGCTATACCTAGTTAATTTGAAAGTCTAACTAATACAGACCATATAGACAATTTTGTGTTTATCACAAAGAAAGTGTATAATTTGTGTGTGTGTGTTGATATTTCCATATACTAAATATATTCCTATTTTTATGCTACATGTCAATTTAACCATCCACCTCGCCTTGTTTTTGATTCATAATTCAATGTTGTCCCATAATTCTACCATCAGTATCTGTTTCACAATAATTATATACACATGCTAAAATACAAAGAAAGTAGAAGAATGGATAATAATATACCTACTACAGATAAGTGGGGAAAACTTAATCACGAAGTTAGTGAATTCTATCATCATAAGCATAAAACGTCTTTATTCAAATGAAATGTACGTTTAAGTGCTGGCAATCCATCACTTCTGCTAACCACAAACCGACTTGTAGGCCAGTGGGACAAATACTTTTACAGGTAACACCATTGTAGTCTGCGATAAAATAGAATTATAGCTTTACGTTATTTACTCCACGTTTATTTAGAATTTTCCGTTGTTAGTTTTGTGTCTCGAAGTTTAAAAGTTTTTTAAGGCTTTTCTTGATCGAGGGACTATAAATTAGTAGCCTTTTAATGTATTTCGAAAGTAACTTTGTATGTCTAATCAAATGCCCAATCCATTAACGGTGTTATTCAAAACAAAAAATAAGTGTAAGGTTTAATAAATATTTGTTTTGTATTTACAGATGCAGTGCTTCATCTGCGTCACGTATATGATAATTTTATGCAGCGCAAATCCAACGAAAACCCGAGAAATTGCAACAACCCACGAGAAACGTTCCCTATTCCGTGATGTTATAGAATCATTAAGAATCCATTCTCAACTTCCTGAAGAAATAAATCAAAACGATGAAAACAATTTGTCTCAAAATTTTGTACGATACGACAACGAGCCAGCACATTTACCAAGTGATACTGAGTACATTCCGAGACGTAATGATAGAATTGAAATGCCGTCGATGAAGTATCGATTCCCAAAAAGTATTGACACCAACATCAGTGAGGTAAAGTCTCGAGAAGAAGTTGTAGTCTTCATAGACACTAACAGACACAAAACAACAACCTCAAAACCAAAAAAGGATAAACGTCCACGCCCACCGTATAATAAAAATAAAAATCCAAATAAGAATAAAGAAAATGAGGACAACATAAATGAAGAAGGTGACGCTGACACTGATAATGATGATTATACACCACTAACTAACACAATGGCTGGACAAAGTCAAATTGGTAATAGGGAATCTCAAACAGTTCTGAAACCAACAGTCATCGTGAACATTCGAGGAACTGTCACTCATAGAGACAGTGATATCAGAATTGAAGGAAGAGACGAAAAAGTTAACAGAACAGAACCCTTCCAGAACATATTCAACATAAATCAAGAAATCAAAATAGAAAAAGAAGGAAACAAGAAAAAGCCTACAAATGTAAAGCAAGAAATTAAATTGGTTCCTGATAAAGAAAACGCTAAAATGGATGAAGACATGATGATGTGTGAAACTGCTACTTGGAAACCAGACAAAAACCAAGAGACCCGTAAATTCGACAGTGTGCTTCAAATTTTGTTTTCCATTTAGTGGTAATTTTACAGTTCGTTCACAAGGCAATAAATTACTAAGTGTATTAGTTTATAAATTGAGTTATAATTGTGATAGACTGAACAACTAGTGATAAAATGCTCAATAACAATTAATCTTAAGTCTTTTAACATGCAATCAGATAAATATCGGATCATTTATGAATTTGATTAAGTTAATTATCTTGTATCCCATTCCAAAGTGTGTATCATTGAAAAGCATAATTCATTTCAATAATGATCATTTGTATTGATAAAGTTGTCTACATTATAGGTTAGCTTTTAACATTATTATTAATTACAGTTAACATTTCATTACGCCTTTCACTGATCTATAGTTTAGAAGTTCATTTTGAACCGTGACTTTATGGTTCGTAAGATTTATACTGCTGACGTCATTTATACTTAGAGTGTATAATTATTTGAAGACCATTTCGTCAATAGTGTAAGAATTAGTAAGCAACTATTGTTATCTAAATTTTAATTATAGTGTTTACTGTGTATGAGAACTAAGTCGAACAAGTAAAATATAAACCATGAAAACAAATTAACTCTTATTGCATTACCTATAATTAAAAATACAAAGAAAGAAAAATGGTTTATTTGCAAAATGTCACAAAGTACAAAGCGTTAGTTATTTTTAATTCCCACAGTTAACTGGATTTGGCAAACGTGTGATATATCGTAACGACGAAATATCAACAGAAAGACAGGCAGATGGTCATCAACACATTATTTTATATAAAGTATGGCACCATAATAGGTATGAACGATCAAAGTAATATAAAATGATAAAAAATAAAGGTCTAAAAGTTAATTACATTACCTGATGAATATAGCTGTGACGTAGGTATTTCATATACTTTACTTGAGGTTGAAGTGAACGTTTATACAAAAACTGTTAGTTTCAATAAAGTCCACCTTTTTTCAACATCCTCCTTCATTCATCCGGATTTATAAAAAATACCGTTACCAACCTACGCTCGGATGACCAAAAAATAGCACATATCTCGGACAATTACCGTATGTATTCACCTTTTGTAGAATTTCGTAAATTATGTTTTCTTATAAGTCACCTAACAGGATTATGATAACTTTGATAATATTTTTCTTATTTAAAATTGTTTTTTTACTCTTTTGGTGTTTTCCAAAAAGGTTCTTAATTTAAAATAATAATAAATTATTAGTTAGACTTATTTGGCATTACTATTTTAAAAATAGAAACACCTGTATTTAGTTGTGAACAAAACCGACTTGATGGTGACCGCCATAATAAGAACCCAGTAACAAAGTAAGTTCTCTAAATTCTTGTTTTTCTACCTACCTATTATTTTTTATTTCATACATTTAAACTAAATTAGAATTAACCCAAAATGAGTTTATAATGTTTTTTTTATGGCATAACCCGGTAAACGAGCAGACGGATCACCTGATGGTAAGCAATCGGCACCGCCCATGGACACCTGGAACACCAGAGGCGTTACAAGTGCGTTACCAGCCTTTTGGGGATTAGGAGTTTGAGGATCGTTGGGGATTCAGGAATGGGGAAGGGGAGGGTAATTGGGCCTCCGGTAACCTCACTCATACGACGAAACACAACGCAAGCGTTGCTTCACGTCGGTTTTTTTGTGAGGCCGTGGTATCACTCCGGTCGAGCCGGCCCATTCGTGCAGAAGCATGGCTCTCCCACACTTAAATGTTATGATAATCGTATTTGAAACTGTTATAAAAACGCATTCCTATAGTTGTAATAGTTTTGGGTTACAACGACTTGAACGAGATTCTAAATGTCAAGTGTATAAATTCCAGTGTTAAGGAAATGATTGTGTATTTTTTATCAATAAAATCCAAAATAAAATGGAATAAAAACATGAGTGTCAAAGAAACATACTTTTGTGAAATATAAATCAACGGCCACCACACAATAACGGCTGCGATTTTAAAGTCAGACATTTTGAATTGTTTCATGTCTAAGATCTTCTTTGCATCAAAATTCCTTCCTACTGCTAAGGGGTGGAATTCCAGAATCTGTATTTCCTGAAGGGTATAATCTGGGTATCTTCAAGGCCCGAGTGAATAGGTTGCTTATGGGACGACGTGGTCCATCGTAGACTGCATCATCGCTTGCCACCAGGCGAGATTGTGTTCAAATTCAAACGTTGGCCTATCAAATATAAAAAGGATCTAATTTATTTAATAAAAATGCACTTACGGTCAATAACTTATTTATTAGAAGTGTATACTTTTTAACACTAGAAAGACCGGAATTTCGAACTACCTATAAAGACCAAGTGGGGTCAAATGACATCTTCATGGGTTGTAATGTTTTATTCGTGTATTATGGTTTTAAGTTTTATTGATTAGCATCCAATAATGAATAAAATAGCTTAATAGTAATTAAACATCTATTTATTGATAAAAAAATAAAAAAATTAGGCACATTTTTGACATTTTAGCTCCTTGTTTACATTACAAGAGCTACACAAAGGCTTTTTCAAGAGCAGACAACTAACACAAGATTTATTGGTTTTGTTTTTGCATTTTTGTACGTAACACCGTTTCCTCTTTCCACTACGTTCTTCTAGAGGCTCTGGGGGTATGCTATTATCAGGCTGTAAAGTAGATGGTGTTATCAGGGAGTGGGTATCTTGGCGGACTAACTCCCTTGCCAAGTCAAGAATGTACTTTTTTCTACTGATTTTTTTCTGGGATAGTTTTTTGTACAAGATCCAAGAATTAATTGCTGCCAAATCCAAAATATTATAAAACACTTGCACGGGCCAACGACGAGAAGGTGCTTTGACACTAGATCAATAACGTCTACTCCAAATTTCGTAGCATTGTAAAACTTCACCGTGTTCGGTTTCTTTTTTGCTCCTTCTGGATCAACAAATACATTAGAGTGAAGTGAACTTAGAATCCATGCAGATAAAATACCTCCTTTATAACACCTTTTTGCAAAAGAAGTTGGTCCAGCTTCCTCTGTTAGAACATTCTGTCGTGGACGACGACCAGGCTGATTCAAAACTGAATATAAGTTTCCAGGAGTCCAACTTATACCGGTAAAAGGTACCTCGACATCAGTGTTGTGGTGAATAATTTCAGTATGTATTCTGGTACCTCGGCCACGATGCCCTCGACCCCGACCGCGACCTCGACTTCTTCCTCTTCTTAGGTTTGCACTACGTAAAGTCGAGAGAGGTACTGAATCTGAAACAGTGGAATAAACGCTAATATAATAAAAGATTGCCTTTTCTCTCAATATGAAAATTCTTATTTTATTTACATCAATACATAAAATAATATACACCTACC